TCTCTAAAGCGTACATTCCTTGTCATGTGTGGCCACTTAAGTCTCTGCTTGGTTAGCTTACTGGTCAGCTAAAACAAAGATTTCCTTTAATATCTTGATCCAGTAAGTCTTCCACTCTTTGCAGTGGGTTCTTTGTGTGTGTTGGGGCACAACTTCAATGCTCCAGCAGTTTACAACTCTGCTTTTGCCTTCATTTCCTGCTTGAGGTGAGAGATTGGGGCCTTCTTGGAACTTTCCTAGAAATGCACATAGCCCTGTACATGCATGCATCTTCTAGATCCCCAGGAATATGTTAGAGCTTTTTAAAGCCACTTTGGATAACTCATTCTCTAGATTTTCCTTTTAATTTTTTGAGTCAGCCTCTTGTTCACCCCAACTGGTATCACTACCTCTGGCAGCTGCGATAGAGAACAATTGCTGCTGATTGTTTTTGGCAAGTGCCCTGGGAATAGGTCTCTTCTCACTGAGAGAGCTCTGAGTCAGGTCAAATAAAGACAAACCCCATAAGTGGGGCTTTTCCAGGGAGCTGCCAAGCAGGAAAATAATGATAATTCTCTGGGGATGAGCATTTGGGGAGCTTCAAACCTGTTCTGACTCCTCCAGTGGTTGCTAGCTGGCTGGTTTTCACAGGTACTGTGGTTGCTGGTCTGCTAGTTTTCACATGTACTGTGGTTGCTAGACTGCTGGTTTTCTCAGGTACTGTGGTTGCTAGGCTGCTGGTTTTCAAGACTATTGTGGAGCTGGGGAGAGGTTAATGGGAATATGGCAAATTAAAATGCTACAAAGCTTGCTGTTCTTACTGAGATTCAGTCATTTCTCTTCAATAAATGCTCCTCAGATTGTTTTAGGCCTTTCATTAATTTCCAGCTTTCTGAAAAAGTCAATTTTCTCCAGTGTTCTCATTGCTTTTATGGAGGAACAGGTGTTTGGAGGTTCTTACTCCACCATCCCAGAAGTACTTCTTCCACTGTATTTAAAAAGGGTTTCTTGGTGGAGCAGATAAAAAGCCTAGCACTGAAACTGTGGATCAAAGGCTGGAAGCTGTAGAGATGTCCATTTGTCTCTGTGTATTTAACACAGGCATTGACCAAGCAGCATTTTATGGCCTCATCCTTGACTCACCTGTCTCCTGACCCTCTCTCTATCCTTCATTTGCCCACATCTCCCCCTTTCTTTCTCCTTCTTCCTCTCAACAAGCATTTATTGAGCATCTCCTGAAAGCCTGTGGATCCAGACACAGACCCTTCCCTGAGGAGCCTATGCTTTGGGGGAGAAGATAGACAAGTTTGCAGACGACCACACCAGGTGTGGGAAATGCTGGGACACAGAGAGATATCAGGGGTTGTGAGAGCCAGGGGAGAGGGATGGACTGTCTTGAGGAAAGGAGAGTCTTGGAGGAAAAAGAATCCTGCCCTACACCCCTAGAGAGGACCCCAGAGTGCAGGGACAGGGCTGGGCTCCAGTGACCCAGCTACATGCTTTCCCAAGGCGAGAAACAGACCAGCATAGAGGTGAGAAATCCATTCCACTACAGATAGAGAAGCAGGGCCATGGGGCATTTCCAGACAAAGGCTCCCACTGGGAGCTGCCCGGCAGGCAGGCAGGGTTGGCCCTCTCTGTAGGTCTGGAGCTTGGCCAAAGGCATCTCAGCCAGATACTGTCCTACCAGGCAAAAATGGGCCTTTCTCCCTGGGCTCAGCTGGAACAGGAATAGGCCTGGTTTGTACAAGGGAAGCAGCTGAAGTCAGGATGTACGCGTGTATGAAACTCTCTAGAAACAAATACCAGGCCCAGGCAAAGCCAACCAGGGAAGGATGTCTATTCTTTGCTGCCCACACCATTCTCTGACAGACAGAAAATTCAGGACAACTGCAGGAGAAAGAGCAGCAAAGAAAAGGAGGTGCTGCCCGTGCCTTGCCCAGCAGCCGACCTTAGACAAGACACTTCTCCCCTTGAAACCTCAGTTTCCGTACCTGCAAAATGAGGGTAACAATACATTCTTATCTTGCAGGGCTCTGTGAGGAAACCATGAGGTGAAGGACATGAAGAGACCCAGCATAATTATGGGCAGTTCGTAATTCCTGGTCTTATTGTAAACTGAAGTCATAATTCTAATGGGGTTTTGAGTACTTTTGAGTAAATTGAATAATTTCATACTCTGTTCTAAAAAAAGTTGCTATGTATTCCTTATATCCTTCCAAAGGGACATCAGGTGCTTACAATAAAAGGCAATAGTACATTTTACGAGGTTAGAAAACAAGAACTTAGCGATAAAGTATGTCTTTGGAAGCGTGGTGATGCAGAAGAGTGTCGACCACACAACCCAGACTAAAGGAAGTCCTAGCAGCTGAACACAAAACAACCTCAGCTTCTGGAAGTCAAAGCACGAAAGAAACATGAAGGGGGAGTGTTCCTACCAGTGAATCCTGGGGAGTTTATTTGGAGGGTCTTTATAGAAAAGAAGTAGCTGAACAAGAAGCAAGAAGCCCAGCCCTAAGGAGAAGACTCTGAGGCTCCGTGAGAACCTGCCGGTGATTCCCCTGGGCCCTGTAGGCCTGGGGTTCTCATGGTGAGGAGTCCATCTGGCATTACCACCTCTCCCTCCTTGTGAAGTTTCCTAGATGGTGCAAATGGTTTGTGCTCGGCTACTAACTGAAAGGTTGGTGGTTCGAATCCACCCAGAGGCACCTTGGAAGAAAGGCCTGGAGATCTACTTGCATAAGATTGAAAACCTTATGGAGTGCAGTTCTACTCTGCAACACATGGGGTTGCCATGAGTCAGAACTGACTCAATGGCAATGGGTTTGGTTTGGGTTTGAGCAGGCCCTATGTGTTCATTCATTCATTCCCTGATTTATGCCCACTCTGTGCCACGGTCTGTGCTGGAAGTTGGAGATTTGGGGCAATAGCTCTCAGCCAGAAAGTTAGAGAGGACTTTTTGCAGGAGATACTTGAGCTAGGCTTGAAAGACAAAAAGGATGAACTCAGGGTCAGAGTGGAGGGGGAGACATTCTAGGAAGAGAAGACACCAGATTGAAGGTTCTTGTGAGAGATGAGGGGGCCATGGACATGCCTGAGGCTGGAGGAGGGGGCCAGGAGCACTGAGAGCTACAGGGGGCTGCAGTGGTGGGGACATAGAAGGGGCCAGTGTGCGAGACGTTCCAAGGAGGAGACTGACTGGCCAGGACTTGGTGTGGGAAGTGGGAGGGGAGGGGTCCAGGTTGATACCCAGGGGAGAGGCGGCTGGAGGTCCACTTCCTGTGAAGGGGAACCCAGGAGGACAGCAGGTTGAGGTTCTGCAGGGTTGAGCAAGGCTATGTCTAGCCAGCAGGGCGCAGAGGAGAGGATTGGGCTGGAGGCAGGGAGGTGGGCATTGTCGGTGTCATGGTGGTAGCTGAAGCTACAGGAGTGGGAGGCTGTGGGCAGAGAGGAGAGAAGAGGGCCAAGGGAAGATTCCTGGGGACCCCCACACTTAAGGGGCAAGTGGCGCCCTATAAAAAATGCAGAGAAGAAGGGGTCAGTGACGTGGGAGGAAACCTAGACCACAGGAACATGGAGGGAGGGAGCGGCCAACATTGAGGCTCAAGAAGATAGACATACCCAAAAGAAGTGAAGGAAGGCAGGAACGCAAACAGACACATGCATGCCAGTGTTCACTGCAGTACTAGTCACAACAGCCATAAGGTGGAAACAACCCAAGTGTCCATCAACAGATGAATGGATAAACACAATGTGGTGTATATACACAATGGAATATTATTCAGCCATAAAAAGAAATGAAATTCTGATACATGCTACGACATGGATGAACCTTGAAAACATTATGCTGAGTGAAATAAGTCAGTCAGGACAAATACTATATAATCCCACTTACATGCAATAGGCAAATGTTTATTAGTGGTTACCAGGGGTGGGAGGTGGAGGGAAAGGGGCAGTCATTGCTTAGGGGGCACTGAGTTTCTGTTAATGGTGGTGGAATAATCTGGTAAACGATAGTGGTGAGAGTTGCACAACATGATGAATGTAGTTGATGTCATGGAATTTTGCATGTAAAAAATGTGGCATAGGCAAAAGTTTTGTTATGCGTATTTTTCCACAGTAAAAATATTGATACAGATAGAGAAGTGCCTGCAGGTGTGGCCATGTGGAGGCCACGGCTGACTCTGGCCAGGGCACTCTCGCTGGAATGAAGAGGCTGGGGTGGCTGTGACTGAGCACAGGGCAAAGCTGAGGAGACAGGATAGACGTCCCCTCAGAGGGCAAAGCTGAGGAGACAGGGTAGACGTCCCCTCAGAGGGCAAAACTGAGGAGACAATGTAGACGTCCCCTCACAGGGCAAAGCTGAGGAGACAGGGTAGCGACCTCCTCAGGGAAGCTGCTCTGTGGGTCAGAAAAGGGGTGCCCTATGGGGGCATGTGCAGAGGGAGTTCATTTTGGGGAAAAGGCCTGAGGAGTTTTAAAGGCAGAGGAAAGAGGTGACGTGATGAGGCTGCTCAGGTGCAGCCGAATGCAGTGGTGGCCGAGAGCAGGTTCCAGGGCAGGATGGAAGAAGATGGTGAGCGGGAAGTGGTGGCCAGTATGGGTGAGTGTAGGTCGTATGGAAGAAGTTGAAGGAATCTTCCCCTGGTGGTTCCGCTCTCTAGGAAGGAGCACAGGCCAAGTGTGGGGAGGAAGGGGAGACAACCTGAGGGGCTCATCACCAGCTCCCACAGAGAACGGAACTGGGGACTGAAGTTTTCAAGGCTGACAGTAAGATCCAGGGAGTGGCTGAGGGCACTGAGGGGACAGTCACTGGAATTGTGGGTGTCAAGGAGCCATGGAAATGCAGTGCTGGATGCTGTGGCTCCAGGGACAATGGCTGGATTTGGAAGGAAGAGGAAGACCTGATCCAGGACCAAGGGTCATGACTACTGGGGAGGAGGGCCTGGCGCCCCAACCAGAGCTTGGGTCAATGGCACATTCCCAGCCTTTGCTTAGGAAACGAGAAAACCTGGACTCACCAGGATCGCCTCTTCGTCCAGGCTTGCCACGCCGTCCAGGGGGACCTAGACAGGAAGACAAGGCAGATAGACTTGTTGAGAAAGGAAGACACTGGATTTGGCTCAGCTTGCCAGTGGCTGGCTCCCCGCAACCCGCAGGGCTTGCCCGGCTCACCCATGCTCACCTTCCTGCCATGCCCTGCTGGCTGGTGGAGGAAGGAGAAAAGGGAGACGCCCCTTTCTTCTGGGGCTACTGCACCTCTGCTCCCCTCCCCCTGTTGCCTGCATTCCTCATCCCTCATTCATTCATTCAGTTATTCAATCATCTGTTCATTTATTCATTCACAAGTAACCCATCCACCTATTCTTCCAGTAGTCCTTCCCCAGTCAAAAGGTCTTGAGGTAGAAGAGTCTGCAGCTGAGAAACTTCAGATGTATGAGAAAAACAAAGCTGAGGGTGGGAATGACCTTACAAAGACCCTGACAAATGATTTTTAACATTCACTGAAATAAAACAATCTTGGTGTTGGTGGTTCAGTGGTATAATTCTTGCCTTCCATGCAGGAGACCCAGGTTTCATTCCCAGCTAACACACCACACGCACAGCCACCACCTGTCTATTAGTGGAGGCTTGCATGTTGCTATGGTGCTGAACAGGTCTCAGTGGAGCTTTCAGAATAAGACTGACTAGGAAAAAAGGTCTGGTGATCTATTTCTGAAGATCAGCCAATGAAAACCCTACGGATCACAACAGTCTGATCAGCAACTGATCATGGGGATGCACAGGACTGGGCAGTGTTTCGTTCCATTGTGCATGAGGTCGCCATGACTCTGGGGTGGACTCGATGGCAGCTAACAACAAAATAAAACAGCATAGACAACACACCAAATAAAGACTATGTCTTGGTGTCTTAGTCATCTTGTGCTGCTATAACAGAAATACCACAAGTGGACGGATTAACAAAGAGAAGTTTATTCTCTCACAGTGTAGAAGGCTAGAAGTCCAAATTCAGTTGTCAGATCCAGGGGAAGCTTTCTCTTTCTGTCGGCTCTGGGGGAAGGCCTTTGTGAATTGTGTCCCCCCAGAAGTATCTGTCAACTTGGCTGGGTCATGATTCCCAGTATTGTATGATTGTAGGATTGTGTATCATTTTGTAATCTGATGTGATTTCCTTATGTGTTGTCGACTCTATCACTATGATGTAATAAGGTGGATTAGTGGCAGTTATATTGATAAGGTCTACAAGACTGGATAGTGTCTTAAGCCAATCTCTTTTGAGATATAAAAGAGAGAAGTGAACAGAGAGACATAGGAACCTCACACCACCAAGAAAACAGCACTGGGAGCAGAGTGCACCCTTTGGACCTGAGGTTCCTGTGCTGAGATGCTCCCAGACCAAGGGAAGACTGAAGACAAGGACCTTCCTCTGGAGTCGACAGAGAGAGAAGGCCTTTCCCTGGAACTGATGCCCTGAATTTGGACTTGTAGCCTACTAGACTGTGAGAGAATAAATTTCTCTCTGTTAAAGCCATTCACTTGTGGTATTTCTGTGATAGTAGCACTAGATGACTAAGACAGTCCTTGTCATCAGTCTTCCCCAGTTGAGGAGCTTCTAATCTGCCTCTTAATAGAGATAGGATTTACAACACATAAGAAAATCACAGCAGATGACAGAATGGTGGACAATCACACAATACTGGGAATCATGGCCTAGCCAAGTTGACACACATTTTGGGGGACACAAAATCCATAACACATGGTATTACAGATGCTTAAATTCAGTAATAATAGGCACTATACTAACCATCTTCTGCCCTTTTGCTCACTAGAACCTCCCTTCCCCACAGTTCCAGGGAGATGCTTATAAATGTGTCATGATTTATTGCAGATAGGGTGCACACAGACACACATTCTTTTCTGTACTCAGCCCTCCACCCATATATTTTGAGCCTTTCTGAATTTATGATGCAGATGTTGAAGAAGGAAAGAGCTCTGAGGACCTGAGACACAGCCAGTCCTCTTCCCAGTTACAGGTCCATGCCTTTGCAGTGCCAGGACCCTTCGGCCCCTGCCTCTCTTGCTGGTGCCTCACCTCATGCTGTTGGACTGGAGGTCTCAGGCCTTGGCTAATGCTCCCTAACCCCACCACTTCTCCTGGACCTCTTTGGATACATTTCTGATGCTCCTTTTCCTTCTCCCCCGCCTCTGTTTCCCTCTCCTCCTCTAGTCCCTCTGAGTCTAACTATCCCCAAATTCTCCCATTTTCTCAGATGCCAGAGGAAAAGGTGTGCAGAAGTAAAACTGTTTATGTTGTTGCTAGTTGCCACTGAGTCAGCTCCAGCTTATATACGTCGACGTTATACACAACAGAACAAAATGTTGTCCGGTTCTGCGCCAGCTTCATGATAGTTGGTGTGCTTGAGTCCATCATTGTGGCCAGTATGTATTTTGAGTGCCTTCCAACCTAGGGGGCCCATCTTCCAACACTCTACTGGACAATGTTCTGTTGGGATCCATAAGGTTTTCACTGGCTAATTTTCAGATGTAGATCACCAGGCCTTTCTTCCTAGTCTGGAAGCTCCACTGAAATCTGTCCCTGCTGGTTAGGTTTGACATTGCTAGTATCTGAAATGCTGGTGGCATAGCTTTCAGCATCATAGCAACACGCCAGCCACCACAGACTGACAAAAGTGACAGACAGCTGGTAGAAAGTCGCTGTCTTAGTCGTCTAGTGCTGCTATCACAGAAATACCACAAGTGGATGGCTTGAACAAAGAGAAATTTACTCTCTCACAGTCCAGTAGGCTACAAGTCCAAATTCAGGGCATCAGCTCCAGGAGAAGGCTTTCTCTCTCTCTTGGCTCTGGAGGAAGGTCCTTGCGATGCGTCAGTCTTCCCTTGCTCTGGGAGCATCTCAGCGCAGGAACCTGAGGTCCAAAGGATGTGCTCTGCTCCCAGCACTGCTTTCTTGGTGGTGTGAGGTTCCCATGTGTCTCTGCTCGCTTCTCTCTTCTATATCTCAAAAGAGATTGGCTTAAGACACTATCCAATCTTGTAGACGTCATCAGTATAACCTCATCATAGTGATAGAGTCGACAACACATATGGAAATCACATCAGATTACACAATCATACAATACTGGGAATCATGACCTAGCCAAGTTGACAGATATTTTTTGGGGACACAATTCAATCCATGACAGCTGCATACACTAGGTTGCAATTTTAAATCACATTTTTTATCTCTATCTTCTCACTCACTGCATACCAGGCTCTGTGCTGGGCTTGAAGGTGATAGACGGACAGGTGGGTACTTCTATGAATGTGTTACAAGGAACTGCCCTTTCTTGCGAAAGGATTTGTCTGGGTGGTTCTCCCGGGTGGCATGCTTAGACAGAAGGCCCAGTGTGGAGGGAAACTGAGTAGGCAGGTGGGCGGCTGTCCAGGGAGGGCAGGGGGCCTCCCTCAAGAATTCCTAGAACAACCCCCAAGGGGAGACACAAGACTGGCCATGAATTAGGTCTGAGGCAGGGTAGTTCACTGAGAAATGTGTGTGTGAGTGTGCAAGTGTGTAAGTGTGTGTATGTCTGCATGCGTGTTTGAATGTGTGAGCGTGTGTGTTAGTGTGTGCGTGTGTGTGTGTGTGTCTTTTCCCTTCTCCCTGCTTTCAAGCAGGTGGCCAGGCCCACTTGTGCTCCGTGACTCAGGGGTCAGGGCAGGCAAAAAAGCAGAAGCAGCCTGGGTCAGAGGCCCTGGCCGACCTTGTTTAAGGGGGAGCCTGGTGGAGCACCTCCCTGGGTCCCCTGAGTGAGGAGAGGAGAGTGTAAGCATTTCCCAGGGCTGCTGTAACAAAATAGGGCTTAGAAGAACAGAAATGTATTGTCTTGTCAAGTCCAAATCCACGTCAGCCGGGTCATGTTCTCTCTGAAGGCTCAGGGGAAGATCCTTCCTTGTTTCTTCCAGCTTCCTGTGGCCCCAGGCGTTTCTCGGAGTTTCTTGTCTTGTAGATGCATTGTCACATTGTCTCTCCATCTCTGTGTCTCCTCTTCTCTTTTATAAGGACACTCACCCATTGCCGAAAACTTGTTGCCATCGAGTCGATTCAGACTCATAGCGACCCTATAAGACAGAGTAGAACAGCCCCATAGGGTTTTCAAGGAGCAATTGGTAGATTTGAACTGCCGAACTTTTGGTTAGCAGCCGAACTCTTAACCACTGCACCACCAGATGGAATTAGGACCCATCCTACTCACATATGTTGTTATGTGCCGTCGAGTTGATTCCAACTCACGGTGAGCTCATCTGACAGAGTAGAACTGCTCCACGGGATTCTCTAGGTTGTAACCTTTATGGGAGCAGAATGCCACATCTCTCTCCCATGGAGCTGCTGGGTGAGTTCGAGCAACCAACCTTTCTAATAGCTGCTGAGTGTTTAACTGTTGCTCCACCGAGGCTCCTTATACTCCAGTAAGACCTCATGCTGATGCAACTGATAATATTTTCAAAGACCCTGTTTCCAAATAAGGTCATGCTCACAGGCACAGAGGTTAGGACATCAACATATCTTTTTGGGGGTCACAATTCAATCCAACACAGAGTGCCTCTGCGAAACAGTGAGAAAGAATATGAGGAAAGGGCTAGGACATCTGTGGATCCCAGAGTAGCCCCTCCGTGCTAAGTCCGACCCTGACACAGGCCCGAGGGTGAGGTGAGAAGGAGCTTGTTGCCAGCCCAGTGGAATGGAGCCTTGAAGTCAGGGTCGTTAAATAAAATTAAAAAATTAGAAACTTGCTATTTCTCGCACCCCTGTGATTTTGGGGCAAAAATCCATGCCAGTTACACAGCCCTGATCCTGGACACAGACCTTGAGATTGGCTTTTGTGCTGAAATTGCGCAGGGCTGCGTGGAGGTGTGGGGCAGGGATCCTGGCACCCCCATAACAGACTCTGGCTTCTCATACCTGTGTGGGCTTCATGGCTTATGAGGAACCTCCAAGTCCACTACCACGTCCACTGCTATGGCCCACTACGGCCTCATGAGCTTCTTGGCCTGTCACGGCCAAAGC